ACTAAATTTACCATTATATTTTGCTGTGTTATGTACTTCTTGTTGTTTCTGACAAAGTAGCCTCAACGAGATGCACTTTTCAGTTATAGCGGTCATAATCTGTATTTATGGGTGGGTATGATTAGATCAGCTGCTGTGCTCCAAATGAAAATCAAAAAGATCAGATTGCTTGTCTTTATAATGAGGCTGCACAGTATATCGTTTGTTAATCGTTATTGCAGTTTTGCCATTTGCAATACTGAGGACAGATGACTACAATATGCACATTAGTCCTCTGACAAATAGCAGAATTGACCATGTCCTGTGAGCACTGACTGCCCTCAGACTGACGGGTGTATAATTATTTTTTGGTAAATTAGGACAATCCTTAAGCACTTTACATGAGAAGGGTTCACCAGTGTTTTAATACATTCTGAATAATATCACAGTTGCAACATTAATATAAGTATTATTTAAAGGAATAGTTTGGTGGAAAAACAAATTAACACGATTTATCTCTTTCCTCAGATGCAGTCGATCAGTCAAGACATTTGATATCTGATGTCTGCTTCTTTAGTTTACAATGAAAGATGCTACGCTGAAGGTGCTGATAAACACGACTTGAAATGTCCAACTCATCTTCATAAATACATGCCAAAATCATAATTTATTTACCAAAAATGTCTTTCATCCTGATCAAAAATGCATCCAGATCTTGACTTGTTTTGCGCAGACACATTGAATGTTTACATGCACTTAATAATCCAATTACTGCAGAAAATCAGATTTTGTCAGTAATCTGATCAACGCTCTTACATACACTTGAGTAATCAGATAACAGGGAAACTCCGGGTCTACATGAGTCAGGCTGTCATCAGATTTCTGCTTTGCAACCAGCAAATAAACTCACAGAAGAAGACGTGACGTAAACGTAATGTAAAACTCAAACTTGATGCTGAAGCTTTTTTTTTTTTTTAAACATCGAGCCACTTTACCTGAAAATACGAACATACAACGTCTAAAGGATGAAGAATATTTAAATCCCTTATTTCGTTAAGCACATGGTTGGTGTCAGCATTGCTCCAAAAGCGTTTTGATGCCATCTCACAGCAACGCCGCTCGTTTATCTCTGATTTCTGCTTGCGCACATACGGAGACTGAGAAATCTGAAAGAAATCAGAGTATACATGCACTGAGAAACCAGATTACTGAGCTAAAATCTAGCTCTTTATCAGATTTCTTAATCAGAAGAAATCGGAGTCAGCTGTTTACACGACGATTTGAATAATCAGATAACTGCAGAAATCTGATTATGGTCGGATTATTGAATGCATGTAAACTCACTCATTGATGTGGCTTAGAACACATGATGACTCCCCACTGAAGAAGAACGCATCAGATATCAAGCATGTCTTGGCTTATTGACTGCATCTGGGGTAAGTGATACATTTTTTCTAACTCTTCCTTTAATAAGTATTAATATAATTGCAGTATAAAACTGTCCATTTCGGGCTGACCTAGTTTATATTTCAGAAATGAATGTTTAATAGTTTCCTGGGATTCCGATCTTCTCTTACACAAGTCCTGGTAGCCAACAAAATGTCCATAGTGTGATGTCAAATGGTCAAAATTTCATCATGTACCATCACTCAGTGTAGGCCTCTCGTTGTATATTTTTCACACTATTTATTGATATACAGTTGTAAATCCAGCTCTGCGTAAACGTGGTGTCACATAACATTTGCACTGTAGTCAAGTAAAATTTTCTCTTTTTTATGAATAGTACAATTAGTAATTTAAGGTACGGTTCCATGAAAAATCAAATGAGCTGCAGTACCACTGTAAAATGAGCTACAGTGCTACTGCAATAGAAGGTTTTGGGTGACAAAGACTTACATTACTTGTTAGCTACTTTAGCGTCGTAGCTCCAGTGCAAAACGAGTTAAGCAAACTTCAGACCCTAAACATCTCTTAGCCAGCTGCCTTCACTTGGGCTGAAGGTAAAATGGTATACGTTTGATTTTTCACTGAATCGTTCCTTAGAAACAGTCCTTAGTGTGATAACTGAAGGAAAGTTTAACCAGTAATAAAACTAGATTGTCAATTAGTGTCTAAGAACAGATGTCAGTCAGCAGTGGGATGCTTTCGAAAGCCAAAACATACGTTCAAATACTTAAAAATACTCCAGGTGGAATTTTTTTGTTGGCCCACTAGCTGTTGTTAATGATTAATAATAGGCAAGGGTAAAATTAAGAGTACAATAGCAGCCAGCAAACAGTAGGAAGTGCATAATAAAATTACTATTTACATTCAAAAAGCCTCTGATCAGATACATTCAGCCAGTCTGTGTAAACTCTCTGTGATTTCCTGCTGTGACCCTAAAGCACACTCATACAGCTATCTTTTCAGCCGTCCACAGGGCGCAGACTGTAGGCGTCTCCGTTGGTCATGGCTCCGTTCACTCGGTTTCTGGCCCTGTCCGTCCTTTCGTAACTGAAGATAGTGTCTTGCTCGCTGTCAAATTCTGACTCTGACATCATCAGGCTGGAGTTGTGCTCGGTGCTCCTGTGTTTGATGTCTGGAAGAGACAAAAATGTCTTTTTCCCCCATTTTTTTATTTCTTGCATGCTTTCCAAATAACCAGGTTCAAACTCACTGACTCACTGTATTTTGGTCGCAGTTCCATTCTCTCTTGTTCATCTACGTTGTCCAGTATCGTGTACTTGGTTTTCTTCCTTACTTTTGTACGTCTCCCTCTGAAGATATCAAAATAACAGAACTTTGCTATGCAAAACCGTGACTGTTGTGTAAACGGTTAAATAACATTGCTGTCCTGCATTTTTATGTGAGGTAAGTAATAAGGTCTGTATCACCTTTTACACCAGGCCCAGCTTGTAGACACAAGAAAAATGACCACCACAATGCAGCAGATTGTGACATACAGCACACTCCAGTCTGCAGGAGAGAAAGGCCAAGAACATGAGTCCACAGCTTATTGCTCTAAATCCGTTCTAAATGAATTACATCTCATCATTCTAATTAATTTACATCTCATCATTCTGCCTTTTAATCCACTCTTTAATGAACTCTCCTTAAATAACACACCTCAGTGTTGTTTTTCTGTGGTTTTCCACATGTGAAACACATGATCTTACAAAGCTGAAAATTCATACACTTTTATTTGGTCACTTTATTGTTACTCTGCTAAAACAAATGATTAATAAGCTGTCAGTGATCTATTCTGAATGTGTACACACTCGCTCAGAAACTATCACAGCGCTTCCAACAATAAAGGCAGCACGGTGCTTCTTTTATACAGCGATAGAAAACACAGTAGCACAACTCCAATTCCACATGCAGATACATTTTACTATGCTAACACTGATATACACACATCCAAACTACTCTGGGGTCAAATTTTAACCACTCAAAGGGGACTTATGACCTGCACATTTCAGGATTGTTGCAACTGCTAACAAAAAATAAGAAATCAGCTGTCATCAAGCTGTCATCACATGTTTGATGCTGCAGAAAGCAGCGCAAAATGTCCCTAAAACTCCAGTGGAGTGATCTAAGTTAGTACACCTGTCTTGAGTAGTCTGAACCATTTTTAATAGGGCTAAGCTTAAGTCAGCTAAGACCCTAGTCAGACAATCACTAGTTCAATGATATTACTGTGATGCATTGATAGGCCACTCACCACAGTTGCTCTCACTGTCATCAAGGAAGCGTCGAAAGGGGTTCTCCATCCACAGAGGATCACAGGAACAGCTTCTAGTGACGGGATCACACTGACCACGGCCAGAACACAGCAGCAAACACACTGGACAGATTTCACACCACAGAACACAACAAAGAAGGTGAATCTATGTGAGCATGTGGCTGTAATGAAGTTTAGACAGAATGAGACCTGTGATGTATGTTTTTAAATCCAAATGTGATGAAATCCATGCTACTCACTGACGGTGTCCACTCTGAGAACCTTGAAAAGCAGGAAATCCGTTTTCTCCTTCAGCAGCTGATACCTCAGGAGACGGGCCAGTTTTGGGCCAGGGATCGTTCCGTCAGGACCCTGAACCGAGAACCTGAACACTGTGCTGTTCACATACAAGCACACAGATACAAATATGTAAGCTTATAAACTGTTAGTTGTATGCAAAAGTTTAGTCAAATTACACGTATTGCTGATTGGTGAAGACAAGTTAAAGCTGCATTATGTAAGTTTTGGGAGACTCCTCTGGTGGAAATGTATAATTGCACACAACGCAGAAGAAAATTTTGTAACATCGGTTGTGTGGTCGTGTCTTCCAAGGATGTAAGTGAATTATCTACTACTGTCATCATATCTTCATCAGTATAATGTTGATTTTGCATCTGAGACCTAAACATCAAGCTTCTTTTTGAGTCTGTGCACGTAAAGATGTATGACATGGTCTGACAAACTCTTTCAATTTTCACATCTTACATAGTTCAGCTTTAACATGTCCTCTACAGAGAACACACTTCTGCACATTTTAATGTACCACTACATTAACTTTACCAACATTACCACTATGCTGCATTTAACGTATTGGGAAGTAAATACATAAAATGTGGCCTCTGCAAAAGTTATGTCACATTTTATATGTTATGTATTATTTAAATACATAGAAATTTGCTACTAAAAATTGCATAAAATGGCATATTTAAGTTGTCTCTGTATTGGAAGTGTTTCAACAAAGCATGTGACCAGGGGTGCACAAACCTTTGCATACGATTGTATACAGCACAGTATGGTTATTACACTGAGAAATGGCAGTTTTGACATAAGTCTGTTGTATCCAGACTTTATGGGGTGGAGGACTGAGAACTCTGGGGAGGAAACTGGGAAAAAAATAAATAAAGAATGAAAGAACCAGATAAGGAAACAAACAAAGCAGGGTTTGTCCACACTACCTGATATCAGACTGGCCGTGCAGACCTTTCAGAGCGATGTCTGTGTCCAGCACGTGCAGCAGTGCAGCCAGCTGTCTGACCACTGTGTCCTTCTGCTGCTGACTGACCTGAGCTACAGCCACCTGCAGCTCCATCTCCACCTCCTCCCGCTCACGCAGGTCTGTACACACACACACACCATCCTGACTATAACATAAACAGGACCCACAGCTTTTTAGCTCTTTCCAGCCATCTACACTTCACATCTCAGCAAATGCAGCTGATTGTAGTGCCGTGAAATTTTTCTGTCACTTTATATACCAAAAATCATTCATTTTTACTTTCAACTTCCAACCTCTCTTTGCTTCTCTCTAAACAGTCTGTTTAATTCTGTGACATCACAACCATGAAAACTATTTTTGCAGCTTAGTTTCCACATATGGACAGTATGGATAAACTTTCTTAGTTCCAAAAAAGCAACATTTCTCCATAATATGGGGCCTTTAAATGTCCTTTAAATGTAGATAAAATTTATGATTTTTTTTCTCTTAAGTCAAAAACCTCAAAAATGCTCAGGTCTGCAGCAGGTAAACATTAGTTTCTTCAAGGACATGCGAGATAAGAAGGACCCTACCAGGACGCACTTCCACAGTGGCTGTTGCCGTGCTGGAACGGCCCTGGATGTCAGTAACCTTCAGTCGGAACAGGTAAGTGCCCTCTACCAGATTGGTGAGATAGAGAGAGGCCTGATGATCCGAACCATAGAGGACGTCCTGTTTCCAGGACAGAGTGAGGCAGAGAGAGAGAGAGAGAAAGTGAGAGGAATGTTAGGGAATGACTTATAATACTTAAAAAAGAGGAGTCTCAAAGGAGCACTCACCCCTGCAGCTGGACTCTGTTCATCTCTGACCCACAAGAAGGACACATTAGCAGAGCCGCAGTTGGACACTGATCCCCTCAGGACCAGAGAGTTGTTGGGCAAGGTCAGCGTATGGCTACCACTGGCGTGGGCTATCAGAGGCAGGCTTTTAGCTGGGGGAAAACAAACACTAAGTGAACTGTGAAACATATTCTTTTATTTACAAGAGCAGAACATCTTCATTCTGATGATAAACAGGTCGTTTAGCTATGTGAAGAAAATGCTACGTTCTCTCACCCTCTTGGACTGTGACGGTGAGCACAGTGCTGTCTGCTGCCCCCTGCTGGTCCTGCACAGTCAGCTTAAACTTGTGACTTCCAGCTCGGAGGCCTGTTGCCATGGCAACGGCCTTGTTTGCATCCTTTATCTTTGAGCCTGGAGGGCCACTTTGCAATCAGACAAGAGAACATTAGTTGTAGCAAAAACTGAATTTCTCTGAATTCTCCCATGTAATAAGTGCATCTTGAAGAATCTGATTTAAAACCTGGTCAGGAATCACTGCAGAGGGCTATCTAATGCTGGAACTGTAGTAACACTGACTTTCTGTAACATTGAGACAATACTGAAGCACAACATCTTAGATTTACTATGCTCTTTGTAACTTAACTCACAGTTAGGACTGCTCTCATGAAAATAAATTGCCCAAAGGGCTTTTTTGAAGCGGTTCCCTAAAGAACGTTTCACGTCTCTTTCAGAATCCAAAATCCAAATTTTGTATAGGAAATTTGTGAGTGTGATGAATCTTTTCGTTTAGAAAGGCCCATATTCTACATTTTCTTGAGGTCCACTTATGATGTTTGTGTTTTTATGTTACTGTGCCTTTAAGACAGAAATATGTAAATGAGCTCTGCTGTAATTGGCTTCTTCGGTTAAAAAGCAGTCCAGGCTAAAACACTCCCAGTAACTTCAGTGTGAATGGGCAGAGCTAAACTGCTGTAGACGGAATGAGTGGTTTGTGTTGGTTCTAGTGACGTCACAAAAAGAGTGAATTTAAAATTGGCTGTTTTTGCAGCTTAGTTTTTAAACTTTATGTTTACATATAATTTCAAACTACTTTTTTTCAAAAAAAGCAAGAAAAAATCAGTTTTCCATGACATGGGCCCTTTAACCACTTAAAATGCCAGTTTTATTACACAATTCTATAACCTAACAATAGCTCTACCAGTTTTCACTGAAGTCCCTGTAGTTAGGACGTAATAAGATTTTACGAGGTTAAACTGCATATACTGCAAATGCTGTCTACCAATTACAGGGTTTTACCTTAATTCTATTCAAGCCAAGAACCATTTAGGAGCCTTAATTGTTAGGGCAGTGGGGCATCTGCGACGCTGCTTATGTCTGACTAGGCCTGACATCAGAGTGCATTAACAGACTGGCTGGCTGGTACCTGAGGATTTCCCAGTGGTAGCTGGTGATGGCCTGGTCATCCGTGCTGTCAGTACCGTTCAGTGTGATGCTGCTGGCTGGGAGAAGCAGCTGTCTGTCTGGTCCTGCTACAGCTACAGGAGCTTTGTTTTCTGTGACACAATACAATTCGGACTGTTATTTTCATGCCTGCAACATAATCTCTCATTTCTGTGAACACTCGATAAAAAAATGGGCCAACATGTACATTAAAGGGGAATTCCACTGATTTTTCAAAAATTCTGCATAAATCAATCGTTAACATGTAAACATTATTTTTAGTGTTTTGATGTGAAATACTGCCTGATGCCTGAGAAATTGTTTTACCATAGTTTTGAGAGAAGCTTTTGGCCTAAAACATATTTTTAAAATCTATTCATGGCAAAGAGTTGCTGTGAGGTAAAACAGACTCCAAAGGAAACCTGATCACTAAAAAAATAAAATGAAATGAAAGTAAAATAAAATGGCTGTATTTGTGTTATAAACATTATTCTGGTTCCCATCACTACCTTTGTAATGAAATCCAAGTCAGTAAGTTTTTCTACAGTTCAGCATCTCACATCAAACCACTCTTTGACTTTGTTTACATCTAACAGGAGTTATGAAAATGGGTGGAATTCCACCTTAAGAATTTGACTTGTTTATAAATATCAGAAATACAAAGTTTTGTTATAACAACAATGAAATGCATGATTACGGTTTTGAAGGAAACTGTAATATTAGTGCATATATTAGTGCATATTTACCAGGAAGCACAGTGACTAAGACTGTATCTGAGTCCTGCTGGCCACTGGAGTCTGTGACAGTGAGCTGAAAAGAGTACTGACCCTCCTGGAGGTCAGACAGCTGCAGAGCCGGAGATCTTATACCCTAAGATGACCAAAAGAGACCATACAGACAGCAAAAAGGCAGCATGAATGTTTTTATATCACTTACGACACCTCCCTCAATCCCTGTAGTATGATTTATGTATCATGAATGCTATCATGTGCTAGCGATAACTGCGACTTCTCAGGGTTAACCTTGATTAAACCATCAAGGGTTCAGACTTTTATTCCTCAGTCCTCAATTATTTGCATTGTGTTCCTTGCAATTACTGAATATTCAGCCTTATCATGTGGGCATGCAAAGGAGCCTTAAGGGTTAAATGGTGTTGAATACCCTGAGACCACTTTCACTTATGTGTAGTTTCTCTGTACCCCTTTTTTAAATTCTATTCTATCTTGCTGAGTACTTAAAGTTATATTTACATATACCAGAAGTGCCATTCCTATTTAAACTGATATCTTCCATCACCTGCATGGTTGCTGCTTTGGCTGAGCTGCTGGGATGAAGGCTCCACAAGTAGCTGGTGATGGCGTGGTCATCTGTGCTCTGGTTGGCCCACAGAGTGAGGCGATTTAGGGGCAGGCTGATGACCTGGTCAGAGCCTGCTTTAGCCACTGGGGGGTCATCTTTTGAACTGCTGACTGTCACTGTGGCTGTGGTGGAGTCAGTCAGCCCTTCAGAATCAGCCACCGTCAGCCTGAATCAGGACGACACAAATCAGGACAGAACACTGAGGGCTTGTGATCTAATCAGGCCAACCCAAATTAAACCAGTCTCAAAGGAAGAAACATTTACCAGAGAGTATAGTCACTGTTTAAACATCTCTGAGACAGTGCAGTGTGGAAGACGGATTACAAGACAGCAGGCAACTGAAGAATGGCCTGATTAGGCCAGTAACCCTTAGAAGCTGAGTGATTTCCTTCATTTTGCTATAATATTCAAATGTAATTATGTAATTACATATTTAATTACATAGTGAGTTACACAATGAACTATATTTACATTCTGTATTGAGAGGCTGGAGTTTGCACTGACTTTTGGTTTGATGTCAAGAGTTGAAAAATAGAATATATAAAGAAATGAGCTATCTTTTAATGAAAAAAGAGTAAGGCTGCATGATATGGACATTTAATGCAATGTTCCAGCAAGATGTTTGATACTGCGATGACCATTTGAGAGGCAATAAATTATAATTAAAATAGTGTGTTTCTGACTGGATGTGTACCAAGTATAATTTATTTTTTGCTGTGTAAATAGAAATATAACTAAACTATATTTCAGTGAGAAATAAAAATATTACATCAAAGTCACTCCCTGACCAAAAATTCCAGATAGGCCTACAAAAATAAATAAATATATATTTTGTTTTATATCTATGTGCTTACAAAACAACACAATATATATTTCATTTCTTAAAATGCTCCTTATGGTGGGGCAGGTTTGTTGTGACAATAGTCAATAGTGCTTTACGTATTTTACATAAAGCACTAGGAGTGAGTATAAATTACTGCTGTGCAGGAGTGTCATCACAGTCTTTGACAATGTGTTCATCACAGAAACTCATTGGGATGACAATAAAAATATAATTAATTGTGCACTCCTACATGAGACTGTTGAGTAATAAGCCGTATAATGTGGGCAGGCAAATGCTGTTGAAGACTCCGAGATCACTTTCTGCTTGTGTCCGTCAAGGACTCTGTGTTGATGAGAACAGGAGTTCTTTGTTTGTACCTGAAGGTGTATTCTCCAGGAGGAGTATCCTGCAGTCGGAGTACAGGTGTGTCCATAGGGACGTCGCTTTCCCATATAGGTCCATCCACCTGCTCCCACAGGTAACTCACTACACCTGTATCATCTGAGCTTTCTGGAAGAAGAATGAAAGCATATAAAAGCACCAGATATGTAAAGAGTTCATGTAAGTTAATGAAACAAGAATCTGTGTTTTAAGGCAGCCCAGACACTAGACATCTGTGGCAATGGGACTGAATGAAACCTGAATTCAATGAGGTGTGTACACACACATACATACATATATATATATATATATATATATATATATATATATATATATATATATATATATAGTCGCTGTGCAAAGAAAAGCAAGTATTTCCAAAATAGTGACTTTACAGTATGCAAAAACACTCTTACCTTTCAATGTAAAGACATTTTATTCTAAGTGGTTTTAGAGCATTTCTATTGGTCCATGCATCTTGAAATGTGTATACAATGTGAAGGACAGCTGATGTGTTGAAATGATGTAGAAAACTCAAAATCAACAAAAATGGAAATAAATAGTTTTCTTTGGACATATATAAATATATACATACAAACAAATGGAGCCAATTAATCAAGAAGGTACATTTTATTTAATTATGGTTCAAAATCAAATTTATTCAATTATCCGGGACAGTTTTAGTTCTTTTATTTAACAAACAAAAAAGAGGAACCTACGACTGCCATTAATGAAGATGATGGATCCAGCAGAGAGAGACACATCCTGGTGCTTGGGCAGAGCAATTGATTTGGGAGGAATATTCAGGTTCACCTCTGTAGAATGAGAAAGGTTCAGCTGTGTGGAACTGGTACTGTCATGTATTTTAATGGAATAAATAAAATACTGCTTAGTACTAAACCCTACTTACCTGGGTGCACTGTGAAGTTTACAACACCTTCCCCATAGGCCTGCTTCCCTGCCACACTGACTCTGACAATATATACACCTGCAGACAGCTAAACAAGCACAAAAGAAATAGAGGGGTTTTAAGGTCAAAAGTGCAAACATTCCCATCATATTTGAATGAAATGCTGCATACAGAAGTCCAGTGAGAACTCACCTCAGAGATTTTGACAGTCCTGCTGTGTTCTCCTTCCATTGCTGCCTGCCGTACGTTCGGTGGACCGACCAAACTCCATTCATATGTGTAAGGGGTCTCTGAGTAAACAGGAGAGTGTGAACATTGTGTCTTCAAACTTGTTGAAATTTCAATTTAAATGAATTTAATTGCTGCACAGTTTCAGCTTACCAGTTTGACTCTCCGGACTGACTGAAGCAGTTAGTTCTACAGCTTTCTCAGGTAGCGTTACTTCACCAATGTTTCCAATTGACACAATCAGAGCTTGCACTGAAACATATAGAAACAGTTTGTGAATAGATTATATATGAAAAAGTAGGGCTGCAGAATATGGATAAAATGTCTTATTGCAATTGCAACCTACTGTGATTGAGATGTGCTTGGCAAAACACATTATGTAGTTATTGTACTTCGAGTAGAATGTTTAGTAGATGCTTGGCTACTATGCTAAAGTATGTATGTATGTATGTTTTACTGCATTTGTAAGCTGCACAGAAATACATATTTATTATATAATACATTTATATTATATACTTATATAATCAAGGTGGATCCAGTCCCAGTGACTAGTGACCACAATGATTCAGCCAAACACTCAAACACACAATATTATCCATGACTGTCCAGAATGCTCACAGCAATAAAACATTTTAAGGTATTATTTCCACTGCACAAACTTCCAAAATCTTTGGCACCTGACAACTGGAACAGTGCTTTTTCCATTGGTCATTGGTCCAGTACAGATGATTTCAGATTTATGGGTTTTGATACCTGCTCCAGACTACTAACTATAGGACTTAATAGTACTCAAAGATAAGCATTCACTTACTTTAACATTTTAACAGAATACTGTTGCTTAAAAATCAGAGAAAACAGATCATTGGAACAATACAGAGAGGCAGGCCCACAGTTATTTCATCATATGTTTACGTCACAACAAACAGAATGTGAATTGTTTTTTCCATCACTATTCAATAACAATTGCAGCATTGGTCTTATATTACAACACTGGCCTTATAGTATATTGTGCAGATGTACATTTAGTTATGTAACATGTTTACTGTATTGGGCTACCTGGCTGTGGAGAGGCGGTCTGGGGTGTGGTGCTCAGGTCAGGCTGAGAAGGAACAGAGTTGCTGATCGGGCTAAATTTGGACGGATCTGCACTAAAGAGCTGCAGTGCGGCTGTTGGCTCCATACTTGTGACGGAGATATTAAACTGGTCTTCATCATCCTGAAAGAGAGAAAGCTCGTCATATATAAACTGACATTGTCAGACAGTTTTAGCCCCACAAAGCAAAAGGACGTCCTGCAGACAAGAAGGCTCCACACTGAAGGATGGCTTAGTGAGAGCATAATAGTTTATATTATTGCTTTAAGTCATCAACTCTGGGGGGAAATACTGATGTTTTGTTATTTCTACCTTCATGAATAGCAAGCAAAATGACAGAACAGCTGAGTCAGCACAATAGCTCAGAGCAGTGACAAATCTACCTTTCCACGTCCAACTTCAGGTCCAATCAAAATGCAGGTCTGCTAAGGAAGAATCTATTTGTTGATGTAAACCCAGAAATCCCAGGGGATACGGTGTAAAACAGCTGTTTTATGGCTAAACATTTACATCTGATGGGTAGATTTGCTTTGGCCACCACACAGTGGGGTTGGATACCTAACATGAACCACACAAAAGCAGTTTAGATGTTTACAACGTTGAAAGCAAAAATAAAGTGTTGCAAGTTATAGGAAACCATTCATATGAAACCTGACGCAGCGCAAACACTGCATACTGAGCGAGTATGGCTGTAATTTAACTACAGCTAATTGGCTAGATAGCAAGCCGACAGACCTGAGTATTAAATTCGAAAACATTTTAAAAATGTGTTCAGGGGTCCTTTTGGAGTATGTTGCCTTGAGGCAACATTGGGTGACAATGAGAAGAAATGATACAGGGCCATGTTACCTGAAGTGGTGAGACCTGGCCTATGACTGGTTAAATCCATTCCACTGTCACACAATGTTGCTTCTAGGCAACAAACATATTTCTGCAAATTCTTATAACAAAAAAAACTGAATGTTAGTGCGTGCATTTTATTGACTTAGTCAGACTCTTCCCTTTATTTTTAACCCTATCATTGTCTTTAAACATGTTTAATGTTATTGTAAAGTGAGGAAAATTAGTTTGCTGCCCTGAGGCAACATCGTGCAATAGAGGGTTAAATCTGCCTACATGGATTAATTCAGGACATAACGATAGATCCCAAGTTAGACATAAGAAATTAATTGAATTATGTTGATAACATTTACGTTCAGCAGGAACTCCACTGATATGTTGTATAATTTTTCTGTTAAATGTAAATTCACAAAAATATTTATTAAGTGATCGCAGGTTATGTAGTAAAAATACGAGTTTACCTTTTTTCCATATTTTAGTTTTTAATGTTAAGTGTTAGATAAAAAGCTTTATATAGTTAAAATTCATACCTGAAATAAATCTGGGATACTTTTCTGGAGAAGACCACTTGTATGGATAGTGGAGCTGTATTTTCTTGTTGTTGTTGTTGTTAAGAATGTTTATAAAATGCCCAACTTGAGTGTTATATTAAACATCCAGCAATGTTTGAATAAATATACAAGTCTGATCAGTGAATTCCGATTTTTGAGCATTCAAATGAAAGTTATCCTCTCTACAAATATCCATGTGCAGAATTATTCAACCCCCAAAGTCAGTATTTTGTGGCACATCCTTTACACTTCCTTTAACCTCTGATAAACATTTCCGCACAAGCTTCTGACATCTCTCTGTTGGAATCTTTGCCCATTCCTCATGTGCAAAACCTTCCAGCGCATTAATGTTCCTCGGTTTCGGTGTCGCCGCAGCTTTCTTTAAATCCCACCAAAGATTTTTAATGAGATTTAAATCAGGGGACTGAGATGGCCACTCAAGGACATTCCAGGATCGATCCCTGAACCGAGCTCTGGTTGATGGCATATGCTTGGGATCATCGTCTTGCTGGAATAATACTGATTCATGGGTCCAAACAGTTCTTATTTAGATTCATAACTCCATAAAATTGTCTCCCAGAACTCCACAGCCCTGTCCAAATTCCTTCCTGTATATTTCAATTTTTATGTGCTTTTCGGCTAAGATTGTAGTGCCACGAGGTGTCCTTGCTTGTGTAGTATTCTTCTTATCGTCTTCTATAATACTTTTGTTTCTGGTCATACTGCAATTCTTTGGCAGTAATGCGAAGGTTTTTTTGAGCAGTTCTGTTCAGATGTCTGATTCCTTTTGGTGGAATTTTGCTCCTTCTTCCACTCCCAGGTAGGTTTGCTGCTGTACCATGAGTGAAAACTCACATATGATATCTCCAACTGTGTCTCTTTGAACTTTAAGTGTCTGGGATACCTTCTTTTAGCCGTGGCCTTTTTGGAGCAATTAAATAATTTCTTCTCTTAGCTTTTGTGAGAGCTGCTTTTTATATGCCATGTTTTCTGCTGAGCTTGAATGCATGCATGTGTGACATTTATATATGTATCACATTTATGAAGCAAATTAACTGTCATTACAGAGTTCCCCAAGGCTTAAATCAGGGGTGGCAAAATGAACCACTAAAGGGCCATATGAAAAAAAACCTCAACAAATCCGTGGGCCAGCTTTTTATGCTATGACCCAAACTGGCCAAACTGCCAAAACTGCAACAGCAAAATATAGGCACTTGTAATAGACACTGAAACATTATGTGAATACTGGAACTATTAAAAAATAATTTAATATTAAAACAATTCATTACTTTATACAAAACAGTGGGCTACATTAGCGACAGATAACAGTTAAACCTCTTTCAATGTCCCAAGAGGGAGGTTTTTTAAAACTGTCTATGTGCTTTAACTAGACACCTGGCATTTTTTAGTGGTACATGCTTGGGATAGAAGTGCAGCTCATGGTGAAATGTGCTAAAAGTAATAGAAAATTATAATAATTTTGCGGGCCGGATAGTATTGTGCCATGGGCCTGACTTGGCCCGCGGGCCTTGTATATGACACATGGGGCTTAAATTGTGTTGTAGCAATATTTTGTCGAATTACAGTACAGTACAGAATTACAGAACTAGCAGTCATTAAAAAACAAGCAATATTATATAGGGGTTGAATTTGCACATGGCTGTATTAAGAAAATATCCTTTCACTATGTATGAAATATCATATACATTTTAACTATGAATTTGAACAGGTCACTCAATTGATAAACATAAAAATTGTCTGGGTTTTCATAAAAGCTTGAATTTGTAAATCCTTATAGCATCAGGCATAACATTATGACCACCTCCTTGTTTCTATGCTCATTGTGCCTAATAGAGTGGACAGTGAGTGGACACAGTGTTTAAAAACTCCAGCAGCACTGCTGTGTCTGATCCACAGAAAGGTGCAAGACTGGAAAATTGGGATTGGTCAAGCCTACATATATGAATGTACATATACTAATGCTGATTTTGCAAATCAGATAGAGGTTCCACTCCCAGATAACCCACATTCATAGATAGTTATGTAATTATCACTGAAAGCTACGATTGCTTTGTTAGAATTTGCCAGGCAGGGTGCTCAGATGTGAAGCAAAAAGGCACAGTTTTGATAAATATCTAATATATTTAGGAGGGCAGGCCAGGCATCGCCAGGGGGCATCAATGGGCTTAGCCCTCCATCAGAAAAACCTAAAATCATTACTATATAAAGTAGAGAGTTTTCTGTGAGTTGTGTCTTTGTATTGTGACCAATCAAAATCCTGACACTCTTCACATCATTCCTGAATGTGTGTTAGTCCAGCTGAGTGATCCCCCAAGCCCTGCTGCATTTTCTCAGCCTACCAGTTACTGCTTAGCAACCACTGCTATCAGCCAGCGCCTCAAGATTTGAGTTCTTTAGCCACATGCCAGCATTTCTGATATACGTGAATCTGAAGTTCCATATATGGTGTGAAGATGTGCCTTTGAATGCAAGACCTGCTGGCTCAGAGTGTTCTAAGGCCAAAAGCACATAAAAAGGTCAGTTTGTGTTAAAAATGTGTCATCATCGTTGTCATTGTTGCTGACACTGCTGCCCTCCACACGGCAAACTATAGTTTGATACCCCATTTGGGGAAAAACACGATGCTCCACTCAGTGTAGTCCTTAAACTTTGTCCTTAGGCAAAACTCCTAACCCTACATTATCCAACTTTTTAACATGATAAAATTGTTAGGCGCTCTAGACAGGAGCATCTGTCAAATGCGTTAATGTTGTCATCATTGTTTTCGTCAGTGGTCTGTAATTTAATATCTGCGTCATTCAACAGAAACATCCATTTTTGTGTGCCTAGAGTTTACAGATATATTACACTTCAAAAACATGTTAGGGTTCCAATTTATTTATATTTTAAAATAAAACAATAAGTTATTTTAACAATTACACCTTTTTCAGCCATCAATTCAGCAATATTGGTTTTTAAATCAATTATCTAGAATTCCAAGCAACACAGACGTGCTCGTCCCCACAGTCATGTGTAAAGGGTGAGTGCCATATTTTGAAGAAAAAAACATGTTTTTTCTGTCATTTTAACTGCAATAATCTATACATGACTAAGGAATATATAAATTAAAAGACATAAAGAAAACAAATGCCAAATAAATATAAGAAAATATATAATGAAAGTTGTCCCCAGGAGTCGTCTGGTGTTACCACATAACAAGAAATGTCTTATTTTGAAATAAAAATCACACTGATGACATCACTTGACTTCCTTTATACCTATTTTCAGAGGATCTATGAAAAAAGCACATGGTAAGTCCACTGTGTCTTTTCAGCTCTCAGAAATTTTCTCATTTAACTTTGAAGCTTTTAGTTGAAGTCACTGGTATGACCTACTTTATTCTTAGGTAACTGTGAAAAAATAGAATACTAATGGATTAAATTACATATTTTAGTGGATGTTCCATGATTGACAGCATGTGGTTTGATGCTCTGTAGCAGCTATTTTGTAAAATGCATTTTTCATCAAAAATGTGTTGTTACTGTCTCTGGTGTTACCTTTCTTATGTGTAACACCAATGAGGATTGGTAACACCAGTGACACCTATGGATAGATAGAAAAGTGGACGTTTCTGCATTGCTCTTTTATTAAAATAGCTTAAATGGTTCAAGCAGAAATGTCAAAGAAAAACATCTACTTTGACACATCAAGTCATCAGAGGTAAGAAAAATGTTTCATGCTTTAGCCCAGTGTTTCGTAACCTGGGGGTCACAACATCTTTGGTGGTCCAGAAGTGGTTCTACAATTACAACTGTAGTCCAGTTAGTGCTGACGATTTGTGTTAAAGTGCTTTCTAAGGAATGTAGGCCAGTCATCTCATTAAGTGACTAGACACACTATTTGATTACTGTTCTGTAATTTCTGTAATGTGTATACTACATACAATGTGTGTGGGGTGGTGGGAGTGAGGTGGCAGTATATTTTTAACCCTCAAAAAGGGGTGCAAACTGAAAAAAGGTTAAGCACCCCTGCTTCACAATTTTGCATGTTAATTTTGCTGGTATTCTTTTTGCGCCTATGACAACAACATTAGCCTAGTTAGAAAGCAATCAGATTTAGTTCCCTGGGGCTTTAACTGTTAGAGTAAAAATATCAACACTCATTGGGGAACTGCTGTAAAGGTCTGGTAGTCCATTTTTAAACTGATGAGTAACATTAGTTCCTCTTACCTTCATTGTGGGCAAAGTGTCTGAGGGCCTCCATGATGGCTGTGCTGCACTGGGAGATGATGTGCTTCCATTCATCGCTGCAGAAGGGGAGCTGGGTGCGACCTGGCTGTCCTCAGAGGCATCCAGCAGAGAGAGTTTTCCTTTACCACCTTCTGTTTCCGATAGGTTAAATCCATCCCTTTCCTGCAGAGCTGGCCAATCAGGTAGTCCTGGGCTTTCTTCACGTTCTACATTTGAGCTGGACTTCTCCTCATTGATGTCTTCTTCTCTTCCCCTGTCCTCCAAAGTCCTGTAGCTGTCTGCGTACTCCATTGGAGAATTATCCAAATCCTGAATGCCCCCCAGCAAAGCCAGGTCCTTCAGAGGGTCTTCTGGGCCTCTGTGTCTGGGGAGCGGACGCCAGTGGCTGGGGTAAGGCTCGCCCCGTACCAGGGACTGTAGCACCAGCGTCTGTGGAGGTCCACGTTGCAGAAAGGCCAGCAGCGAGTCCGTGCCAGGCCTCTTTTTTGGTTGACAGTTCTCTTTGTGCTGGCAACTGAGAACATAGCAGCGTCTCTCAAAGAACCAGGCCAGGTCGCAGCCAGGGAGATCGCAGCAGGCCGCAGCACACTGGGTCAGAGTGAGCACCTCTGGGACCCGCAGGATGCTACTGCTCCTCAGCTCAGGAGACACCACCGTCTCTGAGTACGTAGCCCTCTGCCAGCACTGCCCTGCCACTACATCTACGGCACAAGAAATGGTATTTACGGGGGGTAATTTGGAAATCACTCTCATTTAGTCTCCTGAATTTGGGTCATTCTCACCCCTTCAAATTAAGTCCTTAAATATTTGAGTGTTATAATCATTACGCAGGTAAAAATTTGTTTCCCATTACAGATATGTATAATTTTTGTTTGCTTTTTTAATAAGAAAAAAATGAATGTTAATTACATTTCAATCTCAGTTCAATCTCTTTAATGTTTCCTTGTAAACGAGGTGAATCAAAACAACAAACTTTTATGAAAAATTCAATAGAAAAACGTCAATGGCTGCGGTAATGAGCTGTAATTGCAAACTACTATATTTTGTAAAATACATGTTTAAATAATCAGCTTTAAAATACTAACAACGATTTACGGTTATTAAAAAGAAAAGTTAAGGACAAAAACATTATTTACAAATTCAGCTATAAGTCTTACTGTGTTGCAGTGATGAGAATTTGATCACTTAAATTGGGAAATGTTACTAAAAGTCAATTTAAAATCAGTTAAATCATTCAGGTTTATTTTTATTATTCAACCATAAATAATATATCATTGTTTGTATACCCAAAAAAGGAAAAACAGAGTTTTAGTCATTTTTTTACCAAGTTGTGCAAATAACCCATTAAAGCCTTGTGGAGCTACTTATGTAATTCCTTATATTGAGCGAATCCTGATGTATTTAGAGGAGTAAATACAGGAAATACAGAAAGTAATACAATAGAGACAATTATGACCTACTACTGATGACAACAGGTGCTACACAATGTCTCATATCATGTAACAGATGCGTCAGTGCAACAAACAAAACTGCCATGCATTATTAGAGCGTGCTTGTTCTTATAAAGACTCCATATCATTTCATGCGCAGCAACAAAGCGGTAAGGAGATAAATAAATGTGTAAATCACCCTTGAGGAGACAAAAGCACTACAGCTGCACAGATAATATATATATATAATACACAATCTCATAGTCAACCAGAGCTAAACGTTTTCACTTTACGCCTCAGGATAAGAACAGAGTTTTAAAAGAAGGCTCTGCTTAATAGCTCTGGCTTGTCATGTCTGCCTGTCCTTTACTAAATGGATTAAATACCTCTTACCTCTCATGCAGTGAAGGACCAGGGAAAGTGAAAGGAGAGGCATGAAGCTCATGATGCCAAAAGCTTCTAGTTCATCAGCTTTTCAGTGCTCCACTTTCTAGAAAGGTCAAAAAGAATAGCAGCCTGGTTTAATACAGCACACAATGAACATGTTCAAAGAACTACATGAGAACATGAGAGGCAGGTGAGTTTTTTTTACCAAACACACTGAACTTTGACGCACATTGGCCAAATTCTGACAAAGTCTCACCTCTCTTAGCTTTATTAGTACGTCTGTCAAAATTTCATTTTTCTTTACATACTACTACATACTGTTCTAGTCACACATGTGAGTGCTGTGCAGTCCTGTTTAATCTGACAGATTATCAAGCTGTCATAAACTAAATTAAGAAAAACTAGCTTAGTCAGCTAACTGCATTTAAAAGCTGCTTCACAGAAAGTTATTACATGAAATGGTTACAGATATGCTGTGTGCTGCGTGAGACACTGCTTTACTATCCATTCATGGCGGAGGGGTACATGCAGGGTGTTGTAGGCAAAACAGTCCCCAAAGAAAACCTTATTTTTTGGATTTCCCATATTTCTTATTATTAACATTACATATTAAAAACTCAGAGGACACATGTAGGTTCACTGGTGGTCTTGAACTGTAAATAAAATGGGTCTTATAGACATTGCGACTCCTGGTTCCTCTCACCACTGTAACAAAATCTGGGTAGGTATGTTTCTCTAGAACAGAGCACTTCACATCAAACCAGTTAAAATGACTTTGTTTACATTGCAACCACTGGATTATCCAGAAATTTTTCAAATCAGTGGAGTTCCCCTTTAATTATTCAGTTTCTGTCGCTAATCTTTCTGTAGCGTTATTTATCACGAGAAATCATAATAAAATGATTTTTAGCAGATGAGCAACTCGGATAAAGTTAGGGCCAGCATAAATCTGTCATGGTTTTGATGTTGAGCTGTGAATTTGGTTTTCCACTTAATTAATCCAAATTCATCCAGAACTTTCTCAGCTTTAGGACTGAAATAAAAACAAAGCCCATCCTCCAGATGATCAGGGTAGTGAGTCAGGCATTACACGTTCCTCAGTAACATCTTCCTACTATTTCTTACTTTAATAATTCAGACTGATGTACTGCCACCGCCGTTCTCACTGCAGATTTGTTCTGAGGAGTTCTGTCAGTTTTTCCTTTGCTCGATGGAGGAAGCAGCATTTAGAGAAGATTCTGAGAGGCGAGTCTATTTTCATTTTGCAAAAGGTCAATTAACAGCCGCCCTGACGATGATGTACTGTCCAATCATGACCTCATGAGAAAGTACATCAGTTTGATACATAGGATGATGTAAGATGATTGTTCATAAAACAAATCAATACTAATGAGTCATAAAACAGTAAATGAGTCATATAAGCCATACCCCTCCCTATCAATTATAATTTAAATATTACATTATATTACATTATATTATTTCAATATATTATTATTTTTACTACTGAGGAGGAGAATTAGGTAAACCTTTCTCATTTTCCTATGGGCTACAGCAAACAGACGAGGATCAGTTCTTGACGTAGCGTTATATGAGGAGGCTGTTATGAGTAGACAATAAAGCGAGCGATGATCCAGCCTTCATTTCAGTCTGGAAAAGTAAACAGTGAACTTCATCCTCCTGTGTGCTCTATAACAGAGACCACAGGCCTGTCAGCGTTTGTGCTGCCGTTCAGAGCCCGAGTTAACCCGCATCAGCAAACATTAAACTAACCCGAGGTTACAGACAGGCCAGTGTATCAGAGATAAACAGAGCAGTGAGCAGCAGCCCGCAGTCCGCACTGCTACAGCACACATACGAGCGACGACAGCAGCAGCTTACCGTCGAGTCCGGTCGGTGTTGGATGGTCGATGGTGGGCTGCAGGATGGAGGTCTGAACAGACGAAGGGCGGATGGAGGGTGTGGAGCTGAGGAGCAGCTGATCCTGCAGACTCACAGAGCGAGCGACCGAGAGAGAGAGAGAGAGAGAGAGAGAGAGAGAGAGAGAGAGAGAAACACGTAGGCGGAGGAACACGGCGCGCGCACACAAACACGGTGCAGCGGTTCACGTGGTCTTACGTCGAATCACCACTCAGAAAAAAACAAAATGATAACAACGAAAGATTTCATAAAACGATAGCATAAAACAACATAAATAATAACAACAATAATAATAATAATCATAATTAATAACTACAAATAAAATGATAATGAAGAAAATTAATCATTTAAAAACAACAACTCGAGATTTCATAAAATTATAGAATGAAACAACAACAATATTAATAACAATAATAATAATAACAATAATAATAATAATAATAATAATAATAATAATAATAATTGTTATTATTATTGTTACTATTAGTAGTAGTATTATTGTTGTTTGTTGTTGATGAACCGTAAATATAGGGTATATGTATAGTGGTGACCTCCCCGGTAGGTTCCTACAGCACCACGGAAGGTACATTCACTGCTCATAACCATTTCACAATAGAGAGCTACAGCAGTTTCATTTCACAGCAATATCCCTGCTGAAAAAAACCCAAGGAAAACATGAAGTGTTTCTATTGGTTATTGATGGTTTTGTAATGTGTTTTTCAGCAGGGAGTACAGTGTGTGAATGAGCCGTTGCTCTGTGCGGTTATCTGTATGTGCGGGTGGCGCAGCTCCGCTGTAGTGCGTTTACGTGTTTAGCTGGAGTCGGAATCGAAACTGAGCTCCGCACAGCGCGTGTAGAGCTGCAGGACAGCTGATCAAGAAACCGAAACAGAGAGCGCTCCCCTTCACTCTGGTCAGACTCTTCTCAGAGAGCCAGTTTGAAGCTCAGCTCTGGTGCCCACAGTGAGGGATCAGGCAGAATATCAGCGATCACACGGACTCTTAACAGTAAGTAAGTAAAGTCAGTTTCTCCTACTCAGTTTTACAGCCTGTCTGATGGCAGCATATGTGAGTGAAGCTGAACTACTGTGACCGACAGGCTGCTGGTGTGGCTGACAGACCTGCTAATCAGCGCTGGATCCTCATTCTTGGATCTTTTTCTTGTGGAAGTTTAGTACGATACTCAGGCCTTTGTATAAACACACGTTCTTCTTTGTGCTGCACAACAGGTGCTTCATTTAGCCACGTCTTACTGTGTTACAGCACTCATTCTGTAACACAGTGCTTATTTGCACAACTGTACATTTTTTAAATGTTCACACCATCCTGTAATATTCTGTGTACAATAGTTATTATATTATGTCTCCTCAGCTCAGCATTTGTATAGACATTCACATCTGCATGTATATTATATATTTATATTCCCACATCTCTGTAAGATCCACTCACATTAGCTCTTCATTATTCTTTCTTATTCTCTATTCTATTTATGGTAATTTTATTTTATTTGTCCCAGTTAAATACGTGTTGTTAGTCTGTGTGCTCGTCTGGTCTGTTCAGTATGTTACGTGTCATACATGTGTATATTCATCAAGATCGATTTCCTTGGATGTGTAACATACTTGGCGAAACAGTCACTCTGATTCTGATTCTGAAATAACACTCCCACTGTGCAGCATAGCTATATCTGTTGAGTCACTTGTTTTGTGTAAACTGTAAACTCCCTGGGTGTAACCAGATACCAAGCTCCTTAATGTAAAGACAAAACTATAGAAACAACAAACAGTAATAGCAGGCTAAACTGGTTATCTCACCTTTCCTCAGAGTCCAGGAGTTCAGAGATGGAGGACACACAAGATCCAGTAAGGTAAGAACCCAGCAAAAGCTATTTTTCTGTACATAAGTGCAGTTATTTCTGTACATAAGTGCAGTTCTTACAGTGGTATTAATATAACAGAAATGTGTTGTTGAAGTCAAAGGGGGGTTATAGAGCCAAATCTGTTTACATTGAATAGACCATCTCTATTCATTTTCCAAATTCCACCTTCAGACACTTCAAATTTATAGTTACAGCTGTTGCACAGTTTTGGTTTCCCTGTTTAAAAACAGCTTTTAAATATGGTCAAATATGACATTTCTGTCACTTTCAGCGATTTGACAAAATTCTGTTATGTGAAGTGCTATATGCCTGCCTTTCAGTCAGGTATTGTGGGACGAGTGCAGACTGTTGTACTGATGCAACATATTTACAGTCAGAGAGCTTTGAGAGAGAGAGAAAGAGAGAGAGAGAGAGAGAGAGAGAGAGAGAGAGAGAGAGAATTGAAAGTTTGCCACCACAAAAGCTGTAGAGCTGTAAAGCTCTTTCATGATGCAAAGAACACTTCAATCATACAAGGGGTTCTTTGAGTGTTCATGGTTTTATATAGAACCATTTTCTTTACAAAAGAACCCTTGAAGAACCATCATTTTAAGTGTGATATAGACCAGCTGTTTAAGATCCATAGTATAATAACAGTAACACATGATGTGACAAAAATACATGAATTTTCAATCTTTAAACCACAATCTGATGACCCAGATTGTGTTGTTAAAGAGCCCATATCCTACATTGTTACTGTATTTTACAAGTCCAATGTTTGTGTAGCTTTATGTACCAAAAACAGTCATAATTTATTTTTACATGACCATTTTTGAACCTCTCTTTATCCCTTACAATTAAACAAGCTGCTTTTGTTACTGTGTCTTTAAGACTGATATATGTAAATAGCTTCTATTCTGATAGACGGCCCTGTCTTTTGTCTTATACATAAAGCAGTTCAGAGTGAAACAGGAGGTGAACGGTGCATTCAAAACACCCCTGTATGGACTGAGGAGTGAGCACTATGTGAAACGTGGCGGCCCTGCCAGACTCTTTTATTTTTAAAAAAGGGAGAAATCTGGTTTTCCCAAGCGGGGCGTACCTAGAGCTATTAGAATAGGGTGGCCAAGGAAGCCCCAGAGATTTCACTGGGGTGGCACACTGCTAGTGGAAAAAAAGGTAAATAAAATAGCATTGGTTTATATAAATGACATAAAATATGATGCATTGTTTTCGCTTTATACGTAACGAAATCTGTTCATCATTTTCACATGAATAAAATAGAATATCAATACAATTATTGCTGAAAGTAAACTGAAAGACAAAACTGTGTTGATGTGACATGTTTTATTCATTCATGAGGAAATGATGTATTTTAACATATTAAGAAAAACATTTTATATAGACAGGCCCTAGACATTATTCATTTAGACTTCTATTGCTACAGGTTATAATGACTAGAAACCCCAGCACTGTATATACAACGCATGCGTGCATTCAACTGTAAAAAGTAATTAGTTAGCATGATAAATGATTGTAGCTGACAAATTTGTCATAGTTAAGTCATCTTACGTTGAACAGCATTTTTATAATGTAGCTCACAAAGCAGCATTGCTAAAGGGACCTAGTGCAAATCACACAACTGTTTGCTGAGCATGTTAGCCAATCACAACAAGATGCACCGTCATCAGACTCTTATAGTTGCCCGGTAACTACTTCCATGTCACTTCTTCCAGGTGGCTATGCTTCATTCTAGGGTGGCACTGGCCACCTCTGGCCTCCTCTTAGCTACACCTCTGTTTCCAAGATATGAGCCTTTTATGATCTTAAGAATTCATATATTTGCAGGACAAAATGCAAAGATGCTCTTTGAGCTTGAGATTGTCGAAATCTACACTGTATGTCCAAAAGTTTGTAGACACCTGCTTGTCCACCATTTCTGCTGCAGTGAAGGGTTTTAATAGGGAGTTTGTTCCCTCTTTACTGCAGTAACAGCTTCTACTCTTCAAAGAAAGTTTTACATTAGACGTTGGAACATTGAGTTACCTGTGTCAGCAATAGGTTAACCTTAAAGTAGCTGAGTTCACTAATTAGAAGGGAGCGTCTGAAGACTATTGGGCATATTATGTAACTTAACAGGTGACGTTTATTTTCCTCACAGTCTTACTTACACCGGAGCTCCAGCAGGGGGCGACAGAGACAGCAATAAAAGTCCTGAAGCCAGCAAAGCTCATGAAAAATCAGGCGAGAAGAAAAAACAAAGAAAGAAGAAGCACAGTGCAAAAGGAAAGGATCAGACACTGACAGAAGAGACAGGTTATCATCAGTGTGTGAACTGCCAGCACACACAGAGTCGGACCACCTGTGACCAGTCAACTCAGACGGAGACGGAGTCCACCCAGACACAGGCTACCCAATCCCCCCTACTCCAGTGCACTCACACTCAGCCTACTGAATCCAAATCAACCCAGACTTCACTCTCCAAACTCACCTTGAAGCAGGTGTATGAAGGCCAGGGGTCCAAAGATCAGTCAGGTGAAGACCAGGCCAGCTCTGCTGACCAGCTGACTGTGCTCACCTGGAACATAGATGGCCTAGACTGTGAAGATCTCAAGGAACGAATCCCAAGCCTGCTGGAATATTTGGGAAAGTGAGAGCTGTTTTTTTTTTCTCAGTATGTTCAGCTCAGGTTCTTCGTTGTTTTGTAAATGAACTGTGTTGCCATTTTATTATGCATCTCAGCTTAATAGGCTTGTATATACACTGTATCGACATCTAAATTAGAACCGGGACCAAGGTAATTTATACCGAAACATTTTAAACACATTCCACTGTATATATGTGTTTAGTCGATAGTTGTAGATTTTTAGTATCTATGCTTGGAACTAGCATTTATTTTACACATTTTAACTAGAGAACCTACTGATTTAGACCATATCAGTTGGAACATTTTAAAGTCAGATTTTGTTGCATGTCACTGTTACACAAGTCTTCAAATCTTCTCCTGTAAGCTCAGGAGAGATGTGAGTGTGCACAGTAGTGGTATGACTCCTGTAGCTTATTTCTAATTGGTGAAATTAGGGGTGTTGCCACTTAGACCAGGGTACACCCCTCCATAGTCTCCCTAACATATAGGTGCACTTTGTAGGTTTACATAATTAGGTTTACAGATTAGCCCATCTGTTGATGTTGAGGTATCTGCAAAGTCGTTATGGGGCCCCCTTGTAGCAACAGGCCCTTAAGCAGCTGCTTATGTGGCTTATTAGGTAAAGCTGGCACTGACCTCACTGAACACCTTTCGGATGAATTGGAACATCGATTGCTAGCCAGGCGTTCTCGTCCAGCATCAGTGCCTGACCTCACAAATGCACTTTTGACTGCAAGGTTGCAAATCCACACAGATACACTTCAGACTCTTGTGCAAAGTTTTGTTTTTGTACAGATTTCTGGACATTCTGGGATGGTTGATTTTTATAGGAATTTACTGTAAATTATGCTGTAAACTGTACTAATCCATCAGTATTGATACAGTAAGAGTATTTTCGGAGGACTGTAGATGTAAATATCTCTTCTTTCCCCCCTTTTTTAAAGGTACCATGCAGATGTTGTGCTATTGCAAGAGCTCATTCCTCCTTACCTGAAGCTTTTACAGGACGTCATGAAAGATTATGAGTTTCTGGAAGGTGAGAGCCTTTCTGGATTTGGTGTACATGCTGTATTTATATGTATGTGCTGTACAAGTAATCTTGATTGTGAAACGATTCTTCCTAGGCAGTGATAGTGGCTATTTTACAGCGATACTGCTTAGAAGGTCCAGAGTCGAACTTCTCGAGAGCAACATCGTGAAATATCCCACTACAGAAATGACGAGGAATCTGCTAATGGCCACCGTGAGCTGATTTACTTATTCTCTTCTAATAAGCCTTTCATTTTAACTGTCAAATCTATTCAGTCTGCGTTCCTGTAGTCCAAAATTGTTTTCCATCTCAATGTTTGATGGTCTGGTTTCCCAGTTAAGCTGTTCAGAAAGCTATGGATTAAGATAATTTCATTAAGGTCTTACTCTGGAACTACACCCTCTACTCTCTGCCCTAACTCTCTACTATTTACTGGTGACTTTACTAGACTTCAATGACAGTATTCCTAATGATCCTCAGTGTAATGAAGTGTAGGCAACCCGTCTTGGTTAATGAGTTCCATGAATGTATTAAAGTTTTTCTCACATACTGAGGGAAGCGTGGGGCAAAATCTAACATGCTTTAACATGCGTATGCTTTAATCATCATCTCAGACTCACAATTGTCTACACAAATGTAGAACCTATTACACCTAGCCCCTCTTTCTGTTGCAAATAACCCCACCAGTGGGCTAAGCTGTAACATTTGCCACTTTCAGTTCATCAGCTCATAATCAGAAGCTGCTGAAAACAAAGACACTTTGTTTTCAGCACTTTGTTTACATTTTCATTATTAGCAGATATGTAAAGGGCATGTGTATGAAAATTCTTAATCTTAATCAAAGTTTTTAAATTATTTAGCAAAAACATGTTAATTAGGTTTTAATTACTACTAACTTTAATGAAGTACATCATGACCAAAGCACGGAGACTGTCACAGCTGGCTGCAGTTACATTCTGTTCTTCTTATTTATTCCTCCTGCCAGTGCCCCTTATCTGCCCCTGTGTGTGTGTGTGTGTGTGTGTATGTGTGCACAACCAGGCAAAATTCTCAGGTCATCAGCTGTGTTTCATGACCTCACACATGGAGAGTTTAAAGGTCAGCTCACAGGAGCGCCTGAACCAGCTGCGCAGAGTGTGGAAGCGCATGAAGGAGGCAGCAGACGGCCAGACAGTCATATTCGGAGGAGACACCAACCTCAGAGACTGGGAGGTGTGTGTGTGTGTATGTGTGTGTATAGTTGTCTACCTTTTAGATCAGAGAGCTGTATTAGTTCCATATTATTATTATTATTATTATTATTATTATTATTGGACAGGTGTCACATAACATACAGATACAAAAGCATGCAACATAAAGTCATCTGTGAGTTTATGTATGTCTCTGCCATTGATTTGCCATCATATTTTATTAAATAAAGAAAACTGTTCAAAACTTGGATAGTACAAAAATTTAATGCTGTAAAATTGTAGTATGATCAAGCTTTTGATCACAGTTAATTACGGTTTTCATCATTATCACAAAAATTTTAAAATGTACTGAAAGTCTTTAAAGCACTAAAACACACTGACATAATTTCTCCACTGGTATTACATTGATTGACTTTTATTCAACCTCTCATATTTTCTCATAATCAACTCTAGTTTAAATGAATATGAAATTACCACCAGCACCACTACTGCTCACATTATGCGTTCAGATTATGTGTAAACACACGTTGTCCTGTGTGTGTTAGGTGAAGAAGTTGGGGGGTCTCCCAGATGGTATTCTGGATGTGTGGGAGATGCTGGGAGAGCCTGAGGACTGCAGGTACACCTGGGACACTGTCACTAACAACAACAAAGAGATTCCCTTCCCTGCTCGACTGCGCTTCGACCGCGTTTACCTCCGGACTGCCAGAGAGGGCCCTCAGCTCCACCCAGACAGCATGACACTGGTGGGGCTGGAGAAACTGAAGTGTGGGCGTTTCACCAGCGATCACTGGGGCATTCTTTGCACTTTCTCTTTCCAGTCATAAAATGAGTAGTGATTATGAACCTAGATGGATGGATGGATGGATGGATGGATGGATGGATGGATGGATGGACGGACGAATAGATAGATTCTTCTGAAATAAAGGGTATTAATGGAGAGTTTGTCCCCTTTTGCTGTGATAACAGTCTCTACTCTACTGGGGAGACTTTACACTAGATATTGGAACATTGCTGTGAGGATTTGATTGCATTCAGAAACAAGAGCATTAGTGAGGCCAGGTGCTGATGTTGCATGATCAGTTCTGGGTCATAAACTCCACTCCAGCTCATCCCAAAGGTATTGGATGGAGCTCCATCACTCCAGAGAACAGTTCTACTCCTCCACAGCCCAATGCTGTGGGCTTTATATCCCTCAAGCCGATGCGTAGCAGTGGTTATAGTGGTCTTAGGCTCATGTGTAGCTGCTTCAGAGCATCTTATTTCATTGACAGTGCTTTTCAGTGTTAGAATTGCTCAGCACTCTAAGGCACCAGACTTAAGGCTCTACCTTCCCAAACTAAGAGGTTTCTGGTCTCCAAATGGAGGCTTAGGTTCAAATGCCACTTCTAAAAACTGTTTGCCTACATTTTGTTCCTCTTTTCAACTGCATTTCATTCCTCTCCCAACACAAGAAATGACAGTAAAGATTATTTTGACTTTGACCTTTCTATGAATATTATACAAGCTGTGTGTGTGTACAGTGTCAGGCCTGTGTTTAGCAATGGGTGCATCTTAAAGTACTTGAATTCATTAATTAGAAGGGGTGTCTAGATACTTTTGGACACACAGTTATGTGTAACATTTGGACACCTCTGGTCAAATTACACATTTGATTGATTTCTAAGTGAAATAAATTAACACCACCTCTTCATGGAGCAAAATTAAATATGAAATATTACTGCTCTTTTCCATGCTAAATGGTTCTTTAAAAATGTTCATAGGTAGTTTTGCAGGCACATCATGTTTGAGATCTATATGAGATCAGATATTCAAATCTGAGGGTGGTGAGGGCCATTTCAGAACATGGTGTTTCTTTAAGTAGCTTAAGGTTGATTTTGATTTATATTTTTGATCATTGTCTTCTTGTAATATCTGAACTTTTTTGTCCAGGATTTGTTGATGTTGTTGATTAGTATTTAATCCTTTTTTCTCTCGATCCTTACAACATTTGATGTGCCACTGGCTGCCACACAACACCCAAAGCATAATAGATCCACCCCATGATTAACATTTGGCAAGATATTCTTTTATTGAAATGATTCTCTTTTAAACATACTTTAGGTGATTGTAGCCAAAGAGTTACATTTTTGGTTTCTGGTTTATGCGTGTTGTTTTTCCATACTTAATACTAGGGGTGGGGTGAAAAATCGATTCTTAGATGCATCGCGATGCGGACGTGGACGATTCTGAATCGATTCACAAACGTCAGAAATTGATTTTCTGAATTTTAATTTATAGCGTAATGTTGACGGAACGTAAAAGGCGGAACTTGGAAGTGTGGAAGTGCAGCGCCTGGACAGTCTGTGGCAGCACATAACAAAAACACTACTGGAGGAGTGAGAAATCCGACCAGCAGCCTCTGCATTAAAAGCCAGGTTAGATCAGGAGTCACAACCCAAATGTTAAGAAGAGCCATTTTGTCCTTTCAACAAAAATCAAACCACCTTGGGAGCCCACAACATTTAATGTCCAGTATGTCTCAGTGTGTGATAATGTCCTAGTATAGACTAAAACAATAAATGAAAACGCGGACTTAGTCTACTCTGCTTTAAGCTTTAGCTGTAGCCGCTTTCCTCCCATCTCCACCAGAAAACTTTTCCTCAAAAGTAGAACAGCTTATTGTAAAACGTCTCTCAGCATTAGACTGTTTTACGAGGCTGAAGTCAGCTTCTCATTCGCCAGCTTCTTGTTCGAATTTTCCCGTTACACCTTAAATTCCGTCTGAGGTGCCAGAATGTAAATGCAGCATCGTTTAAGGTGGAACGGGAAAATTCGATAGAGAAGCGACTTCATCTTCACAATTTTTAGTGTTTGACAGTCTCTCATTGCAGGAAACCAACTTCGCTGCTTATAAATGCGAACAAGTCCATTCGTCTCCAAATGTTCGCTGAGATGCAGCGTCCAGTCTCAAACATATTTTACTGACATAGCGATCCCCATTCTATACAACGAGACCAAAACCGAAGTTACAAAATCAAAAAAAAAAAAAAGAAAATGGGTAGAATAGCTGTAACGTGCTGCGTGAACATCCATTGCCACAGGATCTTATTTCACCGTAACAGTGCATTTTATCGCAGATGAGTGGCAGCAGTGTCTCATGTGCTCCAAACAACAGCAGTGAATGAGAGCCTTCCAGTTCACTTGCCACATTACTTCCATTTGATTTATTAATAAAATATATTGGAAGTAAATTCATTATGGATCATTAAAAATACTTTGTTTTAATAGCCAAGTCCTCACACAGAGAGAAAATAGAAAAAAAGATGCATCAAGATGCATCAAGATGCATCGATAATCGTTTTATAATCGCATCGCAACCCTCTGAATCATAATCGAATGGAATTGTGAGGTGCCTAGAGATTCCCACCCCTACTTAATATGTTTACCTTCATGAGATCACAGTTTAGGTTACCTTCTAATGACTTTTCCATATATACAATCCTTGTTCATCAGATGCTTGTCCTTGACAGTGATATGGGGGTTTTGCTTTGCATGTCTGACTAGTCTTTGAGCATTTCATTTTCAGGTTTTTTCTTGGTCTTCCAGATCTGGTCTTGACTTCAACAGTTCTCCTTACCTGCCGTTTCTTAATGATATTTCTGAGAGTGAAAATTATAAGCATAGTGTTTAGTTAGTGTCAGTTTTCTTTAGGTTCAGATCCGCTGTCAGCATCGCTGTTGACCATGACCACATCATACAGAAAGGTTTAAAGGTTAGGTAATTTATCATGCTCTGGAAATTGTCTGCACTTTACTTGGATTAAGGCCTAATGCAGTGAACAAACCCCTGATGTGACAAAAAAGCAGCAGTGGATTGACTGAAAGGGTGCCCAAACTTTTGCACATGCCACATTTTATTTTGTTCCAAGATATAAAATTCAGTAAATAAATGGTAGTTGTGCATTACAATTTAGAAATGTGAGATATTTAAGTTTGTTCTATGCAGATGTTAACTTCTTGTCACTTAGAAAATCAACAAAGCGTGTAATTTGACGAGGGCTGTGCAGAATTTTGCATACAGCTAAAGTGTAGATAGATAGAACTGGTTAATTGGAAAGGATAAATTTGGGTTCTACTGTAGCTGCAGTTTGTTATTTTAGTTTCATCAGAGCATAAAATTGGAGATACCAGTGCATTTTCCTTATTTACAGTAAAATAATTAACTATGATTCCTCATAATTTAGGAATTTCACAAGAGAATGATAATTATGATATGAATGTGGGCGGTGAATGTGACTCATGAGTACATTTTTGTCATGTCATTGTTTTTCCTTTATCCTCCACTGGAGGGCACTCTAACAATGCCTTTGGATTCTCATCCTGTAAAGCTCAAGTTTTAAATGCAGGTCCCGGAGGTCCACGCCTCATTCATATCAAAGCCTTGCTAGTTAGCTGATGAGTCGAAACAGGTGTGTTAAATAATATAGAAAGCTAAACCCTGTAGGGCCACAGTCCCAGGAGTGGACTCTAACAGCTCTGCCATGAGCTATTACCTTTACAAGTCAACACTGCTTTTTGAAGAGTCCTCATAAAGCATGGACTGAGACACACTGTTGTGATATGAAGCCAAATAACAGGGCAAACAAGCAAAAGTGGTGTGTTCTTACTTAGCTGTGCTGTAACATGAATGCTTCCAGGAAAGATTAGTAGGTCTTTAGACTGAGTAAGAATGAGATTATTGATTTGCTAGTTTTCTCAACAAGTTATGTTCACTTACCATGCATGGTTGAGGTATCCTTAGTCAGATTGAACAGAATTACTGTTTATTGCTTTTTTGTTCTGGTACTTTTTTGTATTTTGTAAAAGGGTATGCTAACTGTGCCTCTCAGGGTGCAAATGCTGGGACTGGGTTTGTAGGTATGTCTTAAGTCACTTTAGTTAGGGAATATAACTGTACTGTATTCCATTGCCATTGATCCAAAACGCATTTCAGACCACTTTCAAGAGTTGTCTTTTTCTCATGATGTGTATTGTTGGGAGTGGGTTATGCACACAAGAAATACATGCAATGACGAGATAAAAATGTCTTTTCCATTATATGTCATCTCCTATTCTTTGAAAAAAGTCACTATATCCAGAGTTGTTAATGGTTATACAGCATTTTGGAATGAAAACCTTCTATTTTATATTTTTTTCTTTTGGTTGCATTGATTTTCTACCCCTTGCTTTGGCTCTAGGTCTTTTATTTTTCAACATGAAACAACAGTACAAACATGCATGTATCTCTTAGGAAATGTACTTTTAAGACTCATTTCATGTACACAATTTTACCTTAAGATCCATGTTGTACCTTTGAGGGTAGATTTGTATTGTTTGTACATAGGGAGACAAAAATGTACCTGTACAGCAGTCTTTTTCTGATAGCTTAGGTCTGCAAATCTCAAATATGGAACAAATAAAAATATGTATTAAATGTATAATAGACATCTCACACTCTTAGCAGAAATGGTTCTACATGGTACCAAAAAAGGTTCTGCGACATAACAATAAGCCCTTTTTGGTGCTACATAGAACTATTTAAAAAAAGGTTCTATACAAAACCATGTACAACAGGTATTCTATCATAGAAAGAGAACTATTACACATGCAATAAACAGTTTATGCTTTCAGATTTTTTTTGAAGTGTTCACTTTTTTATAGAGACCCATTTCTGTTACTAAGGAACCCTTGAAGAGCCACCCTACTGAAAATAGACTATAAGAACCATTAGGATTAAAACTGGTTGGTTTTGCTTTCTAAAGGGAATTGGCTTGGTTACCATTAAAGACAATTAGTTTTCTGTGGGACACCTTTAGATCGAATTAAGAAACCATCAAATGCATCTGGAATCCTAGGACCTGTGTTAAAACCATTACTTTACACTGTAATATCAACCCATGAGGAAAATACAATACCATTACTGGCTACTGAGCAGGAACCAACAGACACTTTCAATGGTTTCCATGATTTTTTTTCAGCAGGGCATTTTTAAAGGTTGTAGGCACTATCGCATAACATCCTAACAGGATAGAAAGAGAGAAAGTCAGTGTAAGAAGGGGGTGATTTTGTCTGTTTTTTTGTTTCACTGGGGGGATAACATCTCTTTGCATATCGAGCCCTAGTCAACATTGAAGGGATCTTGTCCAAATAGATGGATGGGAATGGGTCTTTGTTGAGGAGTTGGGAAGCATGCCCTGTGTTCTCATTAGGAAAATTGATTTGGAGCTCATCTTCTCCACCGCTTAATCCGAACAGAATTGAAATATGCCGGTAAAGTCCGCTGGAAATTAGGAGTGATGGCAGGCTGTCAGCAAGAATAATTATTGGTCGTTGGAGTTTTGGGAGGAATTGGGTTAGCAAAGAGAAATGCGCTTACACGCAGTACAGCACATGACCGCCTTTCTCGCATTCTTTTTCACTGTTCAGCACTTCACAGGGAAGAAAAAAACAAACACTCAGCATAGTCATGAATGTCA